CCACAGCTAATTAGTGCCAGTGGCAATACCACATCTCACTATATTTATCTTAATAACGTATGTCACGAGCTCAGATTTGCAGTAGAAAGACTAATTCATAGATGAGTGTTTTAAAAGAAAGCATTTATACAAATGTGACATTTGACGCACGTATATATATAAACTCAGTTAAAATTTTCTTTAAAATGTGAATTAATAATACACCTGACCAAATCAAATGTTGATTCAAGTAGCAGAGTTATGCATAGACTATTAAAACAGTCATTAGCAATAGCTATAATTGTCTAGATATATATGTTTCAATACATATCAGGAAAATAAAATTAGAAAACGCGTGACATCTTACAAAATAATGAAACATTGCCTCCATTTATGAATTTTCATTTTGAATCAGGAAGCCTTTTACAGGCATGGTTTCAAGATAGCGTAGCTAAATGCTACACGTTGTCTGGTTTACAAATAAATACAAATCCTCGACTATTTTTTTTTAAATCCTTTATATTAAGTTCGCTTGCTTGCTTGCTTGCGTGCTTGCGTGCTTGCTTGCTTGCTTACGACCGTGCAAATCTTTCGGTCGTTTTTTAACCCACTTCCCGTGATCCAATCGAGCTGACATTTTCCACACAGACTCGTTGTGCGTGACAATTAATTTTCGTGAAATTTTTTTTCCTAAATTTTACACTTTTTAGGGGAAAATAATAATTAATTAATTACCAATTGCTTAATGCTGGCAGACAATCATCTGACCCATAGGTGGCAGCCATCTCAAGCCAGAGGACGAGAGGACTCTAGCCGCCACGCATATAAAGGATTTAGAGTGAAAAACTTTGTTTTTACGGGTTAATTTTTTTGAGGATGGTAACCAAACCAATTGTGATACATAGCAGTCTTATTATCGGACGTTCCGGTGTTAAATTCCAATGCACGTGTGTGGCACACTCGAAGTAGCCATGTGCACAGATATTTATAGACCGTGACATTTTCTGCGTCACGTCAACATAAGGCTCTTGGCTCTCTCCTGCACGGCCTTTCAGCCGGGAGCTTTGCACACTACCCTGCTGCATGCATTAAACCTCTGCGGCACAGCAACGTGTTATCATGCAAAGCAACTCAAAAGCGGCAGTTTCACCCATTGCCGAAACAAATATATGTTTAACCTTAAAAATGAACTGAAAATCAAAGGTACTGTATATTGTTCCATAAAAAAGAGAATTTGAATTTTTTTTGTGATTTATTTAAATAGCATTTTATTTCTACATACGTGACTTTACCAAAAGAACCAATGAGTATAGTAATTTCTGCAGTCACGAAAGCTTAAATTCTAGATTAACAAAAATATTTTGGTAAATAAAGTATGGGGAAATGTCATTGCACACCTAATGAGGTAACCGGTGTATAATTGTATCACAAACTATAACAGTCTGTTTACACCATTGGAACCTCATTTGCCTGTAAAAAATAATATAATAATTGGTGTTTTACCCTTTTATCTGGCAACAAAACTGACACCTTTTTTACAAGGAGTCATGTTTGCATAGACCACAATACCTGCAGTCATAATGCAAACAAAAAACATAACTCTGATAATGTATGCACTGTCCTTGAAGTTGATTGGTCCACACCCGAGACAGCTTTCCTTAGAGCCTAGTCCCATGTGAGACTAGGCTCATGTGAGATAGGCTCTAAGGAAAGCTGTCTCGGGTGTGGACCAATCAACTTCAAGGACAGTGCATACATTATCATAGTTTTTTTTGCATTATGACTGCAGGTATTGTGGTCTATGCAAACATGACTCCTTGTAAAAAAAAGGTGTCAGTTTTGTTGCCAGATAAAAGGGTAAAAAAACAATTATCATATAACAGTCTGCCTTAAGAAAATAAGAGGCATTTTAATGCTACACCGTACGTGCAACAACAATATTATGCCACCTTTCATTCAAATGCATTATTACGGCAAACAGAACATTGATAACAGCCTAAACGTGTAAAGTCACAGCAATGTACATTCAAATGTTTTCGTATTTATATACACGGCTTCCAAGTATTCCCAGCCACAGCTCTCATATACATTAAGTGTCCAACTGTTATTCCCTGTACGTCTCTGGCTTCTATATTTATATGATACAAGTTCATGCAGTTTGTCTTCGCCAGGCAAACATTTTCATTAAATGATAATGGACCTATGATTTTTTTACTATTTTTATCTACAATCAGACACTAGCAACTCGTCCAAACATGTGTATTTTCCACAAAACTTCTTATATTTAAAGTCATACCCATTGGAAACCACTCAATTTAAAGATGCTGTTCTTTTTTATTGGAAATAACACAAATAAATAAACTTAATACTATATAAGGGGAAGCTCCTATCTTTTACCGTTTTCGAATTATTCAGATTTGAACATGATACAATTTGTATTTTTTCATTCAATACCACTTGAATCCAAAATATAAAAAAAATCAAAAGATAAAACAATGGTTCTCGCCTTATGTAATGAGACAACTTCCGAGACGCGACTTGTAGAGAGTTTCTTATTTATTTCTTAATACTTTAACGACAGGGTTACAGAGTAACACAAGCACTGACTGACTTATAGCTTAGCCATCCATATAGCGACATCGGCGATGTACAATTATATAGCTGGCTGGCTATATAGCGACGACAGCCAAGACCCAAACCCCCATGACAGCCCCGAACCCCCCGTTTGCCTCTTCCTTATATTCACCCAGTGTGTCCAAGCCCCGCCCTTGGCCACGCCCCTCTCCTGGAACTCTCTCACGGCTTCCAGGAGCCTCCAGTTCGATCCCCTCTTTGACCCTTGGCCCAGTTACGCCCCCCCCCCCTGTTGGCCGCTCGCATATGTGTCGTTCTATACCGCACCCATAACCATAGTTAGCCCCCATGGCCACAATATGGCATACTGTCATTACAATTGTATTTGCTGTTTAACGCTCTATCAAAAGAAAAAAACTCAATCTTATTATTTGAACTGTTTCTGAATGACACGCGCAAACATGTTTATGGGGCTCTTAAAATCGAGATTTGGGGGTGCCTTAAAATGAAAAATCTAGGATTATCAGATGAAATTTCCCTGTTGTTTGTGTCCTAAAAGCTACCTATGTACCAAATTTCAGCTTTCTACCTCGTCGGGAAGTACCCAAGAGGTTTTTGAGACATATAGATTAAGATCTTTATTTATTTAGTTAGATAAAGAAGGGCCATTGTGGCAGAAACATCACCTATTTTATGTTTTTCATTTAATTCATTAATGCCTTGAGTTTTTAAAATAAGTTTATTATTATTTTTGATGAATAACCACATACAGTATTTCAGCCCAGGGAATGGATTTCTCAGGAATGGTCGGGTTGCCAAAGCATCCAACTTCATGGCAACTGGTAAAACGTCATATTTCTATCACTATATAAACATGAAATTTCAACCCTCTACACAAGCTGTTAGGTTGCTTGCCTAATAATAGTATTCTGTCTATAAAAACAATCGAAGTATTACCACAGTATCTTTGATATAAGCAAACAGCTTTCATGTGGGAGTTTGGTAGTGCATAGATGTATTTTTACACAAGCCAGACAAATGACATGATATTTGATGTTGATCTCAAACTGATGAGCTGATTTTCTCCCCATATTAGTAAATTAACACCTTTTTGATTGCAGATAGTGCAATGATTCATTTTAATTAGGACATGTTTTATTCATTTATTGGAGCTGTTTTTTTTTACTTGTGTTATGTTTCACATATTCAAGCCTACAACTTGCACTTTAATTGTGTTTAAATGTCATATCATTAGCGATTTGTAAGTGTTAAAATATACACTCCACGAACATTTTTCTTATGCTATTTGATGATGTGCCTCACACTCCGATTCGTTCTACTTTACAGTTCATACCTGTCGCAAGGAAATTTCAAATACTTGTCAACCTATTCCAAAGTGGCAAACTCAAAACTTAATACCATGACCAACATGAACTCATAGGCATCTATTAAACTATCCATATGTAGGCTGTGCAGAATGCAATGTTCCATTTTAGTGAAATTACCTGCCTTGCAGCCAATGGCTGAAATTAATTAGAATTCCTTCCTAATTACATACTATACAAATGTAAAATAATTAATTCCATATACATTTAAGTAATAATAATTTAAGAAATGCACTAATGTTCATTAAATACTTGTAAAAAAAACATGCGTTTCAAATTACAAAACAACATTTCATGGCAAAATAAGTTAACCTAACCTAATATGTAATCTCACACATCGTTTACCCATTCTCCGCACACTGATTTTCAAGATGCCAAAATAATGATTTGAAGCTTTCGTGACTGCAGGAATCCATACTGTTTGGTTCCTTAGGTAAAGTCACATGGGTAGAAAATTAATAGATGACGAGAACTGCTGTTTGTCTCACCTGATGACGGTTGCTTGTGTTGCGATCGAAACGTCGTGCTCTATTAATTTTCTATCTACGTGACTTTACCGAAAGAAGCAAAGAGGATGCCAAAATATGTGAAAAGCACACAGCCTTTGTGCATATGCAAAACAACATCAGCATTTCCTGAAAAAGTGCATTGTGGTCCTCTTGTCTGAGGTCATCATCAAACTAACTTTGAGCAGATGCAACCAAGTGACAGCAGTGATGCAGTAATAGACAACTGTGCATTGGTTTATAATTGGATGAAACTGATATTGCTGTCAATCTGTCACGTCTGCTCAAATGTATTTTATGTTCACCTAATATGAGACAACAACAACAATGCACTTTTTCAGGCAAATGCTGATGGGTTGTTTTGCATATGCACAACGGCTGTGTGCATTTTTATACATTTTTGTGCCCGGTTTTAAACTTATGATGTTCCAACTTGCACTATTATTCTGTAATGATTTCTCATAATTTACAGATATGATCTGACTTTGCATGCCTGAAAGTACTGCAAGTTAATGATGGCCTTGGCGTCTGCTCAGAACCAGGTTGGAGAACTTACCTTGAATGTGTTTCCTGTCTCGTCAAACTCAGGAGGTATGAAGGCTCCTTCTGGGTCATCTGTGATTGGAGAGAAAATATTGCATTTTTCATTCCATTCATAATACTCACAGAACAACAAAGGGACATGAGTGTACGCGTAATTAAATTAACTATTTGCACATGATGCATGACATATTTAAAATACGATGTATTTGTTTTCTATCATGATGCTGGTATTAGTTTACGTTTGAAATCTGGATGCTAATAACCACATTGAAGTTAAAAGGATCTACAATTAAACTCTTGCACCTCTTTCCTGAGCATAAAATATACATTTTGGTTTAATACATTAATATGACAGCTTTTAAAACCAAATCAAATCACTTTAGTTTGTTTACCCACTTTGTGATATTGCAAACCTAATTCATGCAGTTCTGTACAATTTTAAAATATCAATACAAGCACCAATCGATACGCCATTACTTTACAGGACACGTTAAATTAGCGTACAATAGAGGTATCGTGTCATCTGTAGCAAAGAATAGCATTGGTGACAAGGGTACGCAATATTTGCATTTTGATTTAGAGATCAAATACATTCTACAAGTTCCTTTTGCACACGACTCATGAAGCTGGAGCCCAAGGTTGCATCAATGCCAGCTGTATATAAAATAAGAAAAAAACACACACGTATTTGAAAAAGCTACCTCGGGGATGTTTAGCTCAGTATCCTGCCAGGTTGCTCGTCCAATTTCTATAACCCTTTCAACCTCTCGGCCCCTTCCCAGCTGCCCTCGTCTCGTTTCTCATCTCCTTACCCACACCTGTCTGGTTATATGCCTTCACTCTGCGTCCCCTGCAATTTCGCCGCACATAAGATTCATCAGCCTCTTTTTCACAGTGCAGATAATGCACAATTATATGGTTTCATACCTCGGTGAACTTGAAAACCGATTATGACTAGAGCTGTAATGGTGTTGAAAAGTATATGTTATTATAAATTGTGGCTAGTTTGCACCATAGGTTTGTTTGCAAAAGCATTGTATCTATAATGCAGTTTAAATTAATGGTGTTACATATCAAATGTATACCGCATATAAATCAGAAGTATAAATGAAAGGGAGAAATTCTACTTCATTACACTGGCCTCAGATGTTCAGGCCTCGGTGCGTTGACACTTTTATACCAATCAATAAATCATTTTTTTAATCAGTCATGGGTTCAAATTTAGTGAAAGAGGGAAAAGAGCATTCCATTGCGGGAGCCCGCATTTCAATAGCAAGACCCAGACATCAAGTGCTCAGAAAAACACCATTGTGATGCTTCCTCTACTGTTCTCTAGTAATCTAGCACCAGTCATTTATACGAACAAATGCTGTGTACTCTTTGGTTCTTTCGATAAAGTCACGTAGGTATAAAATAAAATAAACCACGATGTTTCGATCGCAACACAAGCGGTCGTCTTCAGGCGGAAAAAATATAATCCAGCAGTGTAACTGCTGAACTAGCGAGAGAACTGTTACAGTTAATGTTGTATTGTTAATTGACCACAAAGCGGCAGTGACGTCACCACGGTGCTTGTGCCATATGAAGTGTCTAAAGCTTACTATCAGGTCATAGGGGAGATGCAGATGTTATGGTCAAATGATTGAGGTGACTAACAGATGCAATGCCAGCATGCTATATGGTGCCCACTAACTGTGTTGTAACTGTCTGATATTCTGCTCATTGTTGTGAGCATTGCGTCCAATGCTGCTGGAGGGCAGCTGCCACCAACTACCCAACAGCATATTTCACAAGTGTCATCCACAGTGGCTACTCTTCACACAATTAGTACCAGCTTCCGATAAACCTACTCAACTCCCAGTACTCTTTGTCCACATCAGTCCACGTCTTCTATAGCCAATGCCATGCCTGTTTATTTCACTCTATCCAGCCAAACCGAAGCCACTTGGGTATGTGGTGGCTGGGCATGCCGGTGACATGGTCCAGCAAATGCGTCCTCGCCCACCAGGAAAGTCCACTAATGGGACCCTGTTTAGATCTTACAAGAATCTGTGAGATCTTTATACAACCCAGCCGTATATACCCAGGGTGGATCATGGGCAGGCCAGCTTAAATGTTTTAAGACAATCCACGTACAGGGTCCACTTTTCACAAATATAGCTGAGAAGAGGCACAGATTCATGTGAAAGCAACAGGCGAAGCAGCTCCGACACAGCACTACACGGCCACAATTAATCACAAATAACAAAGTGTTCATTTCACACACACAACTTAAAAAAAATGTTTTGCATGATTCTTGAATCATAACCCACCAAAAAAGCTGCCTTTTAAAATAAGTGTAGTGAGTTGATGTTCTAAGCCCGGTCACCAATAACGGCACAACACCAAACATTCTATTAAAACATCGGTTTCTGCATTTAATTAAGCTAAATTCCAGCTGTGAGATATAAAAAAAATCACGCGGCAATCTCATGTCCGAATATGTGCAAAAATGCACCCTCTACTGTGCAAAGGACAACGATAACCTCAACTATCTCGGTGATTTCACGGAGAAATCCTGCGATATAATCTCTCCCCGCAGCTGTCATCTGATACGCGCGGTGTGCACCAGTGCCCCGCAAGATGTTTCAATGGATTTGTTCCTGTCATGACAAGATGTCAATACGGTAATTGAAATAAATTGGAGGGAAAAAGACGTAGATTTAAAAATATATATATGGGAAGAAAATATGATTGTACCGTAGAATATAAGTTGAGCTTCTACACACGACTCAAATTAGGTTGGTTAGAACTCCCTTTTATAGAATCTAGCTCTCACAACTTTCCCGACTGTGCGCTCCATAGCACATTTAATTACACACACTACGCATAGATGTTCTGTAATTGGAATTGGCATTAAGGACTGTTGAATCAATTTCACTGCACTGTTTAATTACACACTGATTAAGCCTGACACCAGGCTGGGTGTTACTTAAGGTACAACCTTTGACTCATTATCAGTCTTCTTTGAGACAAACACTATCCTCAACACTGATCAATGCTTCTCAGTCTGGGAAATAAGAACATTATGATCTGTATCTACAAGATGAGAATTTAATGCTATTTTATATCCTGCATCAATGTAAACATATGGAAACATGGTTCAGCAACTGCATGGCACAAATTCTTCATATTTTGACAATTACCCATCTCTTGTTTCAGCATGGAGATAACATACCATGAATTCTGGAATTTGCATGATAATGTAATAACTGTCAGCATAATCGAGCACTAACAACACCATCAGCAATTCATACATGGTAAGGTTTCTGACCTACAGTATCTGTGCATTTTCATCATCATGTTATTCTTGATCAGCGATGTATGCATATCTTTTAAACTAAATAAATGCATTTTATATGTTAATAAAAAACTACTCCCTGTACCACCACACCCGAGTCACGTAATTGCTACACAGTTGGGAGTTTTGTGCACTCGATGATAAATGCATTTGTTACTTCTTCTTTAATGTTCTTATTGCAATGGAATTGGAATACAGCCGATAGAGTACAAGCATGTAGGACAAATTGTGCCCCAATAAAATAAGCATCACATGGTTATATGAATCCCCTTCAGCAGATGCGAGTTACCCTGTGGGATAACAAGCCCGAGGCAGTGCTACCAATGGTACTGCTTCTAAAATGAACTCTGCCGAGGCTTGACCCATTTTATATCTCATTCAATGCCAAGAGTGAAATGAACACAACTTTAAATGGTGTTCCACTTTTTGTATGCATTATCTCCCATCAGTGGCTTGATTGACTCGCAATGGGTAGTAGGTATGTGCTATAATCAAAAGGCCCTAAGTGGTCACATTAAAGGGAAGATTAAATAGATATCCGATAAATGGCAGGCGAGCTTATGAAATGAGTCTCTAGTAGCAGATTATATTGAATAAAACTATTGTACGGTATTCTGTCATTATTCACAAACTTTCCATCCGCGATATTGGCTATCCACGAATTGCATCTGGAACTCTACACGACTGCATCGAGGGAGAGAAAGAAAGTGATAAGATAAAGTGTTGAGATAAAGCGATTAGAGCTAAAGTGATGAAATAAAGAAATGTGTTATTATTATAGTTTTTTTTGTATTGAATAGCTCACTTGTGTATTTATTGAAGGTAATTATTTAAGAAAATCTGTTTTCGTGAGCAAATATAATTTCCCGCGAAATCTGCTATTCACATGCATCTCCAGAACGTATCCCTCGCAAATAACGAGGGAATACCGTACTTCGATATATTACATTGTAGTCTTTTTCACCAAAACCAAACCAAGTGCATGACTTCACCACGTCACAAACCAACGCGCACACACGCGTTAAAAGCAGCACCCCAGCACACTGCATAATCACAACATAATGTCTTTAATACTATTTAAAAATCGTTCCGCATTTCAAAAATGGTTATGCATTTAAATTCCGTGTGTGTCCTACTTTTGAGAACAGCTCAGTTTACGGGGTAGCGTTGCTGTTACCCGTAGGCTCGATATCCAATTTCCACCCTCGCGATTGTATGAATTGTCATGGTGGTACTGGGTCACGATTCTATTCAAGAATAGCATTTTTTTTACCCCATTCCGTTGAATGTCTGTCTAGTGGCTGCAGGCATAATGTAACAAATTGCGTAAATCATTTAAAAGGCAAAATAATGAATTCCTACATGGACGATGTGATTGCATGTATGACGAGTGTAAGAGTCGATGTTAATCAATAAATGAATGCATCGTTACATGCTCAATAGTTAAGGTCCACTTGGTCCATCCAGTGTAAGAGTCGATGTTAATCAATGAATGAATGCATCGTTACATGTTAAATAACTAAAGTCCACTTAGTCTATCGTTTTTGTACGAGTCGGTACAGTATTACAAGATGGTGAAACATTGCTCAACATCCAGCACACTTTAACATTATCTCGCAATGGCGAGATGATATTTCCCTCGCCTGAAATCGAGGAGGTCGTTAGTTCAATCCCAACCCTGACACCTGTTGTATATTTGGAGTTGGAATATTGTCCCCGTAGTCGCGCGGATATTTATCCGGGTCCTCCGGGATCTGCCTCACATTTTGAAAGATGCGTTTAGAGTATTTGGGTCCTATACATTTCCACGTGATAAGCCACTTCGTTGAGCTATCGTTTGTGGCCAGGTCACTTCTGAAAAGAGCTTTCCAGATCAGTGGGCCTTACCTGGTAAAATTAAAATAGTTTATATAGTTTAGTTTACCACTATATCAGGGGTGTTGCCATGGTGTAATAGCACACAGGACTTGCAGTCCAAAAGTCACCAGTTTCTTTTTTCTCCTGGCATGGCAGTTCAAACAATGGGCTTGTTTATTAAAACGTACAGTATTGTATAAATGGATACTACCACAGTCAGTCGTTGGGCAGGGTGCATGTGATGCGCTAATATGTGCATGCTCCTACCAGCGTTAAAGAATAGGCCAAATATCATCTATAGGGTCTCTCCAGAGTTCTCTTTATGGGATGCCATTCTGCCAGTAGTGCCGTGTGCAGGCAATTGCATGGGCTAGACCTTCACCTATACAAGATATCAGCTTTCCTACTAACACTGAGGCATATGCAAACTTCAATTGCCTTCCTCAGAGTACATATGAGGTCAGCCACTCAATTGGTAATGTTTTCATTAAAATGTTGAAAAACATCTACATATGTTTGAATGTCGCATCAAAGCGCACATGAATAAAACATGTTTTGAAATAAGCAATGCTGACTCGGTGATGAGATTACCAACTGTGATAAATGAGCATTTCATTGTTAAGATGGCCAAAATGTCATCATGTAATTAATGTAACGTTTTGCTTAAACATTTTCCATCTACCGAGTTGCGTGATTGCCATCTACAATGTAAAAATAAGCCGATAAAAGCCTCACTCTACAAGTTTTCAGGGCATGAACGTGTGATCTAAATTACATTTCGCTTGCACTGAATTTTAACGAACAAAATGGAACATAAAAACGTATAAATTCCCAACAAAGCATGGAGAGATGCATACATTGAGAGACAGAAAACATGAGGATCAGAAAACATTTGCAGGATAATGAAGTAATTAAAACTGTTAATAAAAGTGGATTTGGGCAGGATACATCGACAGCCAATGGTCAAAAAACACAAGAGTCAGCAACCAAAGGCATTTTTGAGGCATTTAAAAAAAAATGCCTCGTTGAAGCAGTGAGGCATTTTTTTCGAAATCGGTAAAAACCCTCAATATTTCAAGAGCCGCCAATGCACGTGAGCACGAGACGGTGGTGCTATATAAAACACGTGATGACACAGTCCTGAAAGAGCCGCATGCGGCTCCGGATCCGGATCCACAGGTTGCCGACCCCTGGTCAACAAATAACGGCAGTGACACAGGGCCAGATCAAGGCGTGGGGGCTTTAGGGACTGCAGCCCAGGGGCCTCCGCCAGCTGGAGGGGCCTCCAGAGATGAGTGAAAAGTAATTTCATTTGTGAATGCTAATTTTATTTGTTGTTAACCTTGTAAAAATAAATTAAAATTTTCTTTAACTTTATTTTCTTTTTGAAAATATTACTGGGGGCCTCACAAAATCTTCATCCGGCCCTGCAGTGACACGTATCCAGCGAGGGGCAGGAGCGATGAAGTCCGCTCGTGTGCAGGTTGAGGTGGACTATTACAACGCAGGATGTGAGGGATGGTGACAGCTTGGGAGAGACCTTCATCCAGTGGATGGGCCAGGGCTAATGATGATGATGCACCACTGAATTTACCAACTGAAGTGCAAAAAAATTTAATTGTACGCTTAATTTCGCCCGGTTAGTTTGTTTACTCTAAAACACTTCCCAAGACGCACGGATGTGCAAAGCGATAACAACACACCACCTGCGGTGCCCGTGACTCCTTTTGCTTTGATCGTGTTAGGGGAACCTAACACGGCGAAATGCAGACGAGCGGCGAGTACTTTGGCGGCGTGAACCTCTCCGGGGCCTCACCGCTGAGCTGCTCCATGAAGCACACGTTGCCGTGCGTGTTGAAAGCGAGCGTGTCGGGAGTGATGCACAGGTTCCTGAAGAGCTCCGTGTGCCCGATGCTGCGCAGGGCAAGGCAGCATTCCAGACACACGGCCCACAGCTCGGTCTCGGCCAAGCAGCTGTCCCGCAGCGACAAGATGTCCGCAAGAGACACGTTCTCCTGTGCACGCGAGATGGCAGAGGTTGGACGTAAACATGAATTACCATCAGCGGCATCGTTTTCTTCGTCGTCGTTTTCGTCGTCATCATCATCATGAATCAATCGGAGTCACCATCTAGAACTGAGTTACACGTACAGGACTACAAACGTCAGAAACATGGATAGTGAACGAATAACAACATGTTTAAATGAACAAATCAGTCTGGAATTGTTTTAAATGACACATTTCCTTCACTTCTCTTTATTCTAATTAATACACATTTGAGTTGTTTCTCAGATTGAGTTCATCAATGAAAGACATGGTTGCAATTACTTTAGATTGTATTGTATTCAATAACACGTTTTTGGGGGCGTTTTCTGAGCTATTGATTTACGTTGTTGTATGTTACCTATTACAGTTAGTCGATTGGCAGTTTGCATGTGATGACATAAATTGTGGGCACTCCTAACCTCTTCAAAGATATTTGGGCAGTGTCGAAGAGTAGGCCAAAAATACCCAAACAGTTGCAAACCACAGTTGCAGTTGATAGTTTCAGGTCACAGTTGCAAATGTGCTTGTATTTGACGAGCATGAGTTTGAGAGCATTTCTTGACAGTAAATTCACCACATTGAAAGAGGACGCAAGGGATCCATTTATAGACGCCCCACTGAATTCTAACGCTCTACTTTATTCCCTGTCGACGACGGGTGATTGAATGCAGGTATTGTGAAAGCGATGGCTTCATATTTTACAGAGGAACAGAGATCGCCAGTAAGGTGGTAGCAGGCATCGGGAGAGTGTTAAAATATTCAACAAGTGTATTAATCTTCTTGGTTCTTTCGGTAAATCATGGGATCTCCTTTGCCAGTACCAAAATATACTAATAGGGTTTTTCCCCTTTTTTCTGGCAACAAAACTGACACCTTTTGCAAGGAATCATGCTTACATTAACCACAATACCTGCAGTCAAATGCAAACAAAAAACAATTATCAGAGTATTGTTTTTTGTTTTTTGTTTGCATTTGACTGCAGGTATTGTGGTTAATGTAAGCATGATTCCTTGCAAAAGGTGTCAGTTTTGTTGCCAGAAAAAAGGGGAAAAACCCTATTAGTATCTTTCGGTAAAGTCACGTAGAAGGGAAGTAATAAAATAATAAAAATAAAACATAATAAAACAATTCTCACGACGTTTCGGCCACAACGCAAGCAGCCGTCCTCAGGTGAAAACCAGGTCCGTCGAGGCGACAGAGTCTGAATGAAACAGCACACGAGCTTGGAGCATATATATAAGCTGGGCGCATTGACAAAGGAATTTGCATATCAAAAGGAATTTAGCATATTTATGGGAAATGCAGGAATGTGATTAGTACTGCATATGCATGTGCATTATGCAGGATTAACAGCATCAAAGGGAGCTGCAATTACTGCTGCTGCTGCAGTTGCTGCTGCTGCAGTTGCTGCTGCTGCTGCAGTTGCTGCTGCTGCTGTTACTGCTGCTGCTGCACTTGCTGCTGCTGCTGCAGTTGCTGCCTTATGTATTAACTCAAAAAAGAATCATGAGTGCCATTGTGGCGAATAAAAATTATAACGTAAATAGGACAATATAAGTCCGCTTATTTTGTTAAGTGAATTATGATTTGTAGATGTGTAAAGGCTTTCGAATAAAATTTACTTTTCTCTTTATACAGTAATCTCTGCTTATTATATTAGAATGGGCATCTATAAATAAATCACTCTGTACACATTTAAGTGCTCGTGTATAGCAATGCTAAATAGAATACAGATATCACATATGCATTTTTGTATCCACATTTTACATTCAGACATTTGACGTCTTGCGTTTTTGCTTGTGAAAGCCATACATTATAAACAGACCAGTAGGACAGCGAATGCCAAGAGTTTAAAATTAAGGCCACCTGCAGGTATTGCCTCTGCTGACCATTTAAGCAAGGTTCAGACAGCTGTCTCTGCCTCGTGTATACTGGACATAATTAGCCATCCAAGCATATTCCTCCAGTGCCTCACACTTTCAAAGGCTTCATTCGCGACCAATGTTAGTGTAATGACGACTTGACACACTTCTCTTGAGATGGCACTTCATTGAAGACGCGTTCACTTTACACCAGGTGGAGATCCCCACTGCAACAGCCCCGAGTCTCCCACGCATCCCCCCCTTATATACCAACCGAGGCCACGCCCCCCTTCTTGATCATTCTCGTTGACTCTGGACGCTCGCTCCACCAGCAGATTCTACCATCCTCTTCCGTCACCTGACCGCGCTCCCTTCTCCATCATTCCCGTAGCCACCAGTCCCTTCGCACTCACAACTGATACCCCTGTCATTACCTCCCGTGGCCACGAGCGCATTTGCACTGTTGGCTGATTTCCCTATCATTACATCCCGTGGCCACCAGTCCCCTCACACAGCATGCAGGCTCTATTGTCATTACATTAGGATTCATAATTGATGTTTGGGTCAGAGAGCATTAGTACAATGCAAATGTTGCATCCTACACCCTCCATCTGACAGAGACAAATATGTGAAGTGGTCACTGGAACAAAAGACCCAGTTTTTTTGTATCGATTCAGCACATTGGTATGTCGGAGCAATCAATAATATTTAACAACTTCGACATTCATCATTGTACCATTGATAAAGAGCTCAATACATACGGTGCAAAAGAAGTTCAACATACATACAATAGGCCAAGCAACAGGTACCGCAACACCCATCTATTGTAATTAAGTTATTTTTAAAATATTCTACATGCATATGCAATCAATGCATGCAATTTAAAAGTTGTGAAATTTCAATTGGTTTCCAGATTCTACAAACAGGATTTACATGCATAGCTCAGCTCCACATAAATAGTTTACTGCTTTATATAACTTAATCTGGCAAGTTGAGATAAATGTGTTAATTTTATTCATGCAGAATATGAATCCATGTTTTGCATTCCTAACCATATGCTGCTCTGTACAGTTATAAAACCCAGCAACCAACATATGACTCCAGATAGACATCAAAACAGATGTAGCTGGGAACCTGAGCACAAGTCATCACAATGATCATCAGCCATAATCAATCGATGGATGGATGAAGGCCCCTCCCCACACTATTTCCGTCTCTCAGGGTCCAAATAGCACCTGCAAACGAGGTGATTTCATCCCTCCATCTCCACAGGGGATGAAACCTCGGTTGCATTCCATCCTTTGGCTGCTATTGTCATTGTACTTATCCACTAGCCATCATTCCTTTTGGTAACACGTCCTGCCCAAATCCACTTACTTTCAGTGTAATCCCAAGCATACATCTCTCTATGCTTCTTTTCATAACTGTCCATCCTCTTCTTGGTACTTTCGGTAAAGTCACGTAGAAGGGAAGTAATAAAATAATAAAAATAGCTGTCCATGTTTCTGATATATAAGTTGTAGCAGGTAATACACATTTATTAAAAACATTCTTCTTTATATCGTTTTTTTTATTTTGATTCACATAAACCAGTTCAGTTGATTCACATAAACCAGTTCAGCTTTCCTGAAACGCTTCAACCCACTCACTCATCGGTTTCTAACTGAGGCATCATTTCACGATTGTGGTATTTCATTAATTTGTCAACAATTTCATAACGAAACTGCTCATTTTGTTCCATCAATTGGTCCTACTTCTGGACCGTCTGGTCCAGGAGTGTTCCCTGTGTTTCATGCTCCTAAGGGCATCGTTTACTTATTTAAGTGTGAGATCTGGAGCTTCCTGCTCTTCAAATGAGAGACGGTCTTATTCTTACTCGACTATATGATGTTTTTGCTATTAAGATCTACGTAAAATTCGTCTACTAATTTTTACATTTCATTTATCTATGAAGTACGTTCTACCTTTCTCCCTCTGTGCTGCCACTAGTGAATTGCCAATCACCAACCTCATTTTTTCTGCCTTCATGCTCCCAATGCTCACTATGGCATATTCAATCATGTTTCTGTTGTGTTCCCTGATTTCTATTCCCATTTTTTCCCTGAATAGTTTGACAGCGAGTTTTGCGTATTCCATCACTTATTTTGTTATAGCTCACCTTTTCATCAACGTGTATTTTGTGATTTCAGACGATTTGCTCGTTACCTCCTCTAACCTTTCGCACCACTTTAAATGCACTCTCCATTAATATGACAGTTAATTCATTATCTAAAGTAATTTATTTCCTCTAGGAATATCAATCTTTTGGGAAAATCGAGTACAAAATGCCCCTTTATTTTTGTCAACCATTTTGGTTTTACCCGTAACTAGAATTCCCTCTCTTTGACTACAGTACTTTGAAGGATAAACCTGCTTTGTGCCAGTCTGTGATCAAATTTTGATTTAAAGCTTTCGTGACTGCAGGGATTCATCTTCTTGGTTCTTTCGGTAAAGTCACGCAGAAGGGAAGTAATAAAATAATAAAAATAAAACATAATAAAATTATTCTCACGACGTTTCGGCTCTGTCGCCTCGACGGACCTGGTTTTCACCTGAGGACGGCTGCTTGCGTTGTGGCCGAAACGTCGTGAGAATAATTTTATTATGTTTTATTTTTATTATTTTATTACTTCCCTTCTACGTGACTTTACCGAAAGAACCAAGAAGAAGTCTGTGATCACGTATTGTGTTGAATGTATTGAGGACATAGACATCTCTTAATATAGGAATGAAAATATAAATCCCCCGTCTACCATGCAAAGACCATTCCTAGCTCTATTTGCATATGTCAGACATATAATATAATACCTTAATTAAAAATGAGAGCCAGGGAGCTGAAGTATTTAAGACTCTACAAAATTTCAATCAACCATGACCATTACATTATTAAAATAGAAATCTGAGATGGCCAAATTCCTTTGTAAGGGCACCGCATACCTGAACGCAATGAATCACCAAATACTGTATATAGTGCAATCGCATCATTTATTTACATGCTTTACTATATATGCTGTCGTTATGTACTTTATTTTAAATAGCCCCTGCAATCATCACCACCATGATTTCCA